CTTAGCAACAGACATTTTGGGGCTCAATTGCGGTCGTAAGTCGAGAACCACCTGTAAGGATCCAACTTTCAAACAAGTGTCTGGGATCTAAAACTCCAAGCTTGGTTTTTGGATGGAGTCCTGATTTTTCTGAAGGATTCAGCTGAAAATGACCGGATTCAACTGAGATTCGCTGGCAAAGTCGAAGGTGCATGTAACACCCCCCCCCCCCGTGCCCAAACCAGGTTACTAACTCGGAGAAAGGCATCAAAATGGGTTGGGTCTCCGCACAGCTGAGACAGATAGTAAACAAAGCAGAACCCTTTCTCGTAGGTGAAGAGATTCATCAGGTTGCTGGGGTTCACACCTGGGGGGGGAAAAAAAGGGAAGAGAGGAAGAACTTTAGATAAGTGTTATAGGGGGAGAAAATAGCCATATAGGAGGTCCTCAATTTATGACCACAACTGAGCCCAAAATATCCATTGCTAAGGAAGACAGTTGTTAAGAGAGTTCTGCCCCCATCTTATGACCTTTCTCGCCACAGGTTAAGTGAATCGCTACAGTTGTAAGTCAGTAACATGGTTATAAAGTGAGTCTGGCTTCCCCATTAACCAGTGGAACAACCTGCCTCCAGAAGCGGTGAATGCTCCAACACTGGAAGTTCTTAAGAAGAGACTGGACAGCCATTTGTCTGAAATGTTATAGGGTTTCCTGCCTGAGCAACTTTCATTCTGGCGATTCCTTGAAGAAGCTTAATTTCCTAAAAGGCCAGACCCAGCTCCCTTCTTACCTGGTTCAAGTTTCACCTGAAGTTTGCTGACAGGATTGTCCTCCCCAAGGAGTTTCATTTGCCGGTGAAGGGCATCAAGGCGGAAGGCTGTCTCCAGGCATGTAAAAGCAGCACCTGTCCACACACACAAACACACACACACCAAATGCATGGAATTTAATCGGAGAGCTATAATATTTCCAGATTATGCGGACGTTCAGATGACTCTGTCTTCCAGCACGTGACATCTACCCAGGGCTTTTTTTTTTTTGGTCATAGGACAGTGATGGCAAACCTTTTAGAGACTGAGTGCCCAAAAACTGGCCCCATCTCCACTCCACCGCCCTGCCCCGCCCCTGCTCTGCCCCCCATCCCCCACCCTGCCTGCCCACAGGACCACTCACCGCCTCCAGGGCCCGCCGCAGATCGCCCAGGCAGCCCAGCAGCGCTATGGCGGCCACGCCCTCTGCCCACGCCCCGCAGCAACTGTGCGCGTTGGGGCGTGAGGACAGAGTCTTGTCTACACTGCCTGGCTGCCATGTCCTTGGCCGCGTTGCTCCGTGTGGGCCACGCTCAGGGGCGACTCTCCTTCAGGGGGGCTGCTGGAGAGCAGGGGGTCGCAGGGGGAGGCAAGGCTGGGGCAACGGCACGTGTGCCCACAGAGAGGGCTCCGAGTGCCGCCTCTGGCACCCGTGCCATAGGTTCACCACCACTGTCATAGAACGCACCGGAACAGAGTTCCGGCACCTTTTTTTCGATGGATTTTCCAGAGTTGCGTTCTTTTCCTATTGTTTCCCTTCCTATCGTTTGTTTTTGAAAATGTCCCGCTGGCGGTACGGTGCGAGCGGGGTCCCCTCTGGCGCTATCTGCCTCCTCCAGTAGGAGCCATGAGGCGCCAGAGCACCACAGTCAGAGCGTGGCTTGATTGGCTGGATCAGACCATGTGGTATGGAAGCCGATGGTGGCGGTAGGAGACACATAAACATGGAGGCCATCTTTCACGAGAGGGCGAGCGAGCCTTTTGCCTTCCCCTACAGAAAGTGGTGTGTGTGTGAGATTAAAAATAGGCAAAGTAGAGGAAAAAAGGGCGGCTGGCGTGGAAGCTTGCCCAACAGTGAAACTTTGCCGTTTTGGTTCCTTGGGTAGTTCAAAGGCTGAGATGTCTACGAAAATCTCTTTTTAGTCTTTTATATTTTATATTCAAACTGCAGACGGGAAGAATAAGAATAAAGCCAATGTCTTGTGATTCGGAGGTATTATTATTAATAATAATATATATTAATTATGTATTGGTCAGATATAAAGGTAGACCTACAGTATGAGGTTTAATCAAATCTGTTTGTTAAATTGGGTTTAACTTAAAGGTACATTAAAAGCAATCTGTTCACTGACAAAGTTTCAACTTTCATTTGTTTCAAGCCAATATCCATATTAAACTCCAAATGTAAAATCTCTCCGCCTTGTTTGACAACCTCTTAAAAATAATTCAATCTTTTACAAGCAACCAAATTTTGTTTTATTGGGCCAATTTCACTCCACGTAGAAAGCTGACATTTCCACTCGTTAAACCAAATGGGTACGCCAGCGGTAAGTGTCCCGAAAGATTAATAAAATGCCTCCTTGTAATTTAAAGTCACACAGTGCATGGTAACATTAATAATATTAACTTACTTTGAACAAAATAATAGTCTTTCAGATACATTAAAAATTGAAGGGTTTTTTTTTTTCAACTACAAAGGTAGACCTTGTAGGGTAGGCAAGGCGGGTTGTATGATGTGTGTGATATCATGGCAGTCCAACTAATCACTGCCAGAGGGAATCTTACACCCTGGAGTAGTGCTTCTCACCCTTGGCATCTTGAAGACGTGTGGGCTTCAACTCCCAGAAAATTTCCGTTGCTAAGTGAGACGGTTAAGTGGGTTTTGCCCGATTTTACGACCTTTTTGCCAGAGTGGTTAAGTGAATCACTGCAGTTGTTAAGTTAGTGACACAGTTGTTAAGTGACTCTGGCCTCACCCCCACCCCCCAAATTTACTGGTCAGAAGGTCGCAAAAGGCGATCACATGACATCGGGAGGCAGCAACCGTCGTAAATACACGCCAGTTGCCACGCGTCTAAATTCTGATCACGTGACCACGGGGGATGCTGCAACGGCTGTTAAGTCTGAAAAACTGTCAGTTCTGTTGTACCTCTGAATGGTCACTAAGGGAATGGTCGTAAGTCGAGGACCAGCGGATGATACTGGATTTCCCAAAGAGAGACCCAGAAGGCATTTTCAAATCATTTTGAGCAGCAGCTCCTGAGATGTGGTGAATTGTTCAACTACCTCAGGGGCCTTCAAACTTGGACCTTTTATGACTTGTGGACTTCAACTAGCTGAGGAATTCTGGCACGCTTGGCTGAGGAATTCTGGGAGTTGAAGTCCACAAGTCATAAAAGGGCCAAGTTTGAAGACCCCTGGACTACATCATATCCTCTGCCAGAGTTTCTACATACAACTTCACAGGTTATTCTTGATAGATCAAATTAAGCTCAGGGCACGGGATAGAGCAGGGGTCTTCAAACTTGGCCCTTTTATGACTTGTGGACTTCAACTCCCAGAATTCCTCAGCCAGTCTTTGCCAACACAGTGCTAGGCTGCATGAACAGAGGGAGAGAATCAAGATCACGTGACGTGTTAATACCACTTTACAAGGCCTTGGTAAGACCACACTTGGAATACTGTATCCAGATTTGGTCACCACGATGTAAAAAAGATGCTGAGACTCTAGAAAGATCCAAGCTGGGCAAAGCTGGCCTTTGGCAACCGTCACAATGTGGAGGCGCAATACGCAGCTTCAGGCAGGACTTACCATAGGTCTCCGTAGTGATGCGGCGCTGAGCGTAAGTGGCCAGCCCCTCGCTCAGCCACATCTCTTCCCAGGTGGCGTTGGTGACGGCATTGCCAAACCAGCTGTGGGCTACTTCGTGGATGATATCAATGATGAGAAACTCATCGCTCTCCAAGATGGACGAGATCACGAAGGTCAAGCACGGGTTCTCCATGGCGACAATAGGGAACGAGGGAGGGAGGAAAACGATGTCGTACCTGGAAGCGAGGGGAGGGAGGGAGGGAGAAACCGGATCACTTTCCGAATCTTCAAGATAATTCTCAA